ACTTTTTTGCGATTTGGCCACATATGTTCTTCTCGGCATTTTTTTCCAAAAAAGACCGGTTTCGTCAGCGTTAAAAACCTGATCTGGACTGTATCCACCATCCGCTATTATTTTTTTAAGTTTTACAAAATTAAAAAACATAAATAACTGAATAAATACAAAATATTTTTTGGCTTACCTTTTATCTTAATGCGTTAAAATTAAATTTAATGGAAAATCAAATTTGCCTGCAAAAAATTTCTTAACAAAACACGTCTTTTTGCATTGACAGTTCACAAAATATTAACACGTTTCAATTGCTCTGACCAGTAAATTTTATTGTATGCACATAAAGGGAATTCCCCTAAATTAGTGCTATTCACATTTGCTTTGACCAGTAAAAATTGCTTGTACGCGCTAAAAGGGAATTCACTTAAATCTTTAAGCTAGTGTTCGCAAACTATCGATAGCACTATCTATACTATCGATGGTTTTTTTTTTCTTTTTCTTTTTTCTTTCATAAATACTTTTTTGTGATATGAACATACTTCGCAAAAATTAAATTTGACAAAAAAAATTTAAGTATGTACATAAAATTTCAAATCGTGCTAAATGGAATAAAATCGTGTAAAAAAATTAAAAATATTCAATTTTCAAACCGTGTTATATCAAAACCGTGTAAAAAAAGACCGTGTAAAAACAGACTTAGGTGTATACGGACTGACGGTAAGACGGACAGACAGACGGACGTGGCTCGATCGACGTGGCTGTTGATGCTGATCAAGAATATATATACTTTATGTGACGGAAATGATTCTTTTTCTGCTTGTTACATACATTTGCACAAATATATTATATCCCTTTTACCGGGTTCAGGGTATAAAAAATAGTTCCCTCGGTAGGGTTTGAGCTCGCAACAAACCACATTAATTGCCGCCGCCACTACTCAACAGCCACATCAATAATTGAGTCTCAATGAGAAAAAAACGGTTAAAAATAGCAGCACAGAAAACAACACAATCGCAATTGCAATGCTGTTGATAGAATTCAATGAAGACGCACATGAATGTGTATGTGTACATGTATACAGAAATTCATGTGCTTGCGCTAGCCAATATATTTCTTTCTTTCATCCCGTTTTTTTTAATAACTTCTGTGTTTCTTAACCGATATTGATGAAATGTTCAACAGTAGATCTTACTGTGCTATAGAACATTTGTTTAATCTCAAAAAGTCAATTGCATTAAAATTGTGGCTTAAATTGGTTAATTTACTTGATTTATAGCTATGAGGTAGTAGCGGGATATTTTAAAGGGAGAAAACGGAAAGGTGAGCGCTGGGCAGTCAAAAAAAAATACCAGTAGATCTTGACTAACAACAATGCGAATCATTTGAGAAGCTAAAAAGGGCTTTTTGATTCTGAAAATGTTCTGTTACTCTGCCCTGACTACAAAGCAGTTTGATTTAACAACAGATGCTTCGTCCTTTGGCTTAGGAGCAGTATTATTTCAAGGTGAGAAACCCATTACTATGATGAACGAATATGTGCAATGTGCGTTCTTGTAAGATACTGATTTTATTCTTACGAATCCTAGGTCTTATATACTAACAGAGTGTTTTATTTAAGGCCGGCTGTCGATGCATTATCGGCAGCAGCGGTCATAAACTATTGTGTTTAATTAGGGTATTTTTTACCTTTGCTACTTATATTTCTAACATGACATTTCTTAGCGTAGGTCGCTCTTAGAATCTTAAGCGACCACAAGTGCGCTATCTATTATTACGCTGCTGGCTGCAGTTGTACAAGATGGTGTGAGATATTTTAGGCCTGCTGTCGATGCATTATCGGAAGCAGCGGTCATAAACTATTGTGTTTAATTAGGGTATTTTTTACCCTTGCTACTTATATTTCTAACATGATATTTCTTAGCGTAGGTCGCTATTAGAATCTTAAGCGACCCCAAGTGCGCTATCTATTATTATGCTGCTGGCTGCAGTTATAAAAGATGGTTTACCGAGGGTCAAATTTAGACTCGGTGTCACTTGTTCGTGTGTGAATATTCTACGGGGGGCCGACAAAGGTGATAGCCTGAAGTTTTTTATTTACAGTTATTTTTCTTATCAGATATACAAAAACAATTACGACTTGTCTCAAAGCTATATACTTAATAGTCTGAACTAAACTGTATCATTATATTTTGTCCATCTCTTTGTACTGGTAATGGTATAAATTTAAATAACTGAGAAGTTTTCTACTGAACAATGGTATTTTGGCATTTGTGATGAGTTTATTCTGTATTAATATTCGCCTTGCCTTTAGCAGTGCGTAACTCTCCTTAATTTCTGTTTTTGAATTTTGATGTCTACTTCCGACTAAAAATGAGTTAAGTCCTGGGATTTTATTCTTTGTTCCATTTTCTTTTTCCTGACGTAAGCACTTTATTTCCGTGATAAATTGATTTGTCTATTCTTGCTTTAGTAACACTATGCATTATTGCATGAATAATTTACCTACAAATGAAACCGGGGCTAGCCAACCTAAAAGATTAAAATCTTTGCAAGCGTGGATAATACTTGTCTTTTGTTTATGTTTTCTGAGCCCTCACAATTTGTCTTTATTTTGAATTCGTATTTCAAAGGTTCCCACTGTAGTCTCAATTTTTCTTTATTCTACTTTCTTCTTTTTTGTAGGGCATACAAATAATTTTTTGACCAAAACTCTTTCTTCATTCTATTAATCAGTTTCCATCTATCTAAGTTGTCTATTATTATTTTTAGATGATATTTTACTGATTTGATTCCGGCCTCCCAAATACCTCCGAAGTGAGGTCCTGCCGGCGGGATAATTTTATCCCACTGGATTTTTTTCATTTTCTTCAATAGCTATTACTTTATATTCTTTAGTATTTTCTACATGTTCTTTTTTGTCGTCTGCCTGTATGCTAACAAGCGAGCATACTTTGGTAACTGTCCTTGTGAAACTTCCATCCTGTAATTTTATCTTTACTATCCTGACTTTATTGTCTTTTCCTCTATCATATACCACTCTTGTGTATGCTTTCTCTGATGCATACGTGAATCCATACAGCTGTATTTCAAGCTTCATGTTAGTCTGTAACCATCTTGGGATTCTTATTTCTTTTAGTAATGTTAAGTTTTTGTCGCCTTTTAGGAAATCTTGATCTATCTTCCTTGACGCATCTACGAAATTAGTTTCATTTTCGTTGGACTCGACGTTATTTCCAAGGTCCAGATACTCTCCTAAGAAATTTTTATAACTTTCCTTAAGCTGTGTATTTCTTCTGCATTTATTTTCTGAGTGTAGAAGCCGTGCCATCCCTTGTGGTCTTGATTCTCCTAACTCTTTTTCATCCTTAAGCGGAATGGTTACTGTATCCCTTCCATCTAATTCTTTTGTTGATTCAATAACAATTTTCTCGCAGATTTCTGTTTCTGCAACTTCTTTAACCTCCTCTCCTATCTCCTAAACTCTCTCCATGTATATCAAAATATCTTTACCAGCACCCGCATTTACTATTTAAATTCTGTTGCTTATATATATGGCAAGTCTTTTTTAGATCGCTCTACTTTATTTTATAGCTCTATATGAAGAATCTGTCGTCAAAAAATAATGTGTTTTCATAGATATTGTCATCTAACTCAGCATTTACGAGCTTTACTGTACACATATCTGCAAAGCCGCAAGGCAAATGACTACAATGGCATTGAATCTATGGCGTCCCGAAGATATCCTTACTTTCTCTCATTAATTTCAAATTAGAAATTTTGAGTTTTTAATAAATTCCAACAGAATTTTTTTTCATTTTGTGCAACAGAGGCTAGACACATATTATCAACGAAAATTAATATGAGCAGCTAAAGCAATATTGAGTTACTAAACTAGCGTTTAATGAGTTTCTTGATTGGTCCACATTGGGGTTGTGAAATGTCTTAAGAATGCCTAATATGAAGAACCAGGGTCCGATTGCACTATTGCACGTAGACACAGTCGCGTCATAAATGGTTGTTCAACCTATATAAAAAGAACATAAAGCTAACGAAAACATGTAAGATTGTTCTAGTCGGGGTTGCCCGTCTATGAGATGCCCTGAACCCAAACTATGGGTACAATCATTAAAGTTTCCTTCTATATATAAGTACATAAACGCCGCTGGCTGCGGCTTACGCTGCGTCCTTCATTGACCCCATACTAAGGGAAATGCGTTCGTGATTATCTGCGGAGTTTATTTTGCGATCTTTTTCAAGTCATAAATTTGGCATTCAAATGTTTGGAAATACCAAAGCCTAATGCTAATAAATTTTTGTGTAGAACGGGGTGAGGCATTTAAAAAGTGAAATATTCTAGATCTGCGAGAGTCTACATACCAAACTAAGCGTTAAGCTCCAAAATATACTTTAAAGTATTTCGATATTGATTTTTATTGGTTTTATTGAGTCGGCTTAAATTTTAAACGATTTTAAGAGGAAGAAAATATTTAATTGTAGACGATTTTAAGAGGAAGAAAATATTTACTTTATGGGGTTGAAGATTCTTCTTCAGTTTGTTTTATACATGTACATAAAACCATTATTCCCATTTAAGCCATTCTCAATGTCTTCAGGATATTTAAATTAATTTTTCCTTTGAAGGAGTGTTGTGAGCAAAATCAAATAACATTGAAATTGCATTTTCTTCAATGTTTTGAGCATATTATTGTCTTAGGATAGGTTCCGCGCCAAACAAAATGTCAATAGTTTTGCCCACGCCTACTAGGGGGTAGTTAGCGAAAATCAATAAGCTAGTGTTTCGAAAATTGACATGTAGAATGCAGCCATAGTCTCTATTATCGATATTTTCCCAACACAGTTTGTTAGTCACTGCGTTGGGGAATCTAAGTAACTAAGCAGACGTTTTCAACGCTGCGAACCGAGTCTTATGCTGTCTGTTTGCTTTGATAACATGCTTCTCCATTTATAGTTTGAAACATTTTTTAAATTCTTACGGTTCTTTTTCTACTCAGATGCTGCTACGGATTATATTAATGATGACATTGTGCTTTTGCTTTGCCAAGGCTGTGCTTAGCGGAAACGAGCTACATCGACGTGAGGTGGGCTTTGACAGCTACGGCCCACCGCCTAGGCAAGCACCACAGTACGGCCCTAAACAAAATCACCTACGACTTCCTGAGTACGGCGTGCCACAGCAGATTCCCTTCCGAGAGTATGGTCCGCCGGCATTGAAATATGACACTCCTAAGCTAACATTTTTTGGTGGTGGTAGTGGACCATCGACCAAGAATGGCTTATATGAGCAAATCAAAAACCATTTTGGCATTCCCAAGCCCTTTTACGGACCACCGCACGTACATCATAATCCAACACTAGAGTATAGCTTACCGCCACCCGCTCATTATGGTCCACCAGCGCAGCCCCCTTCACAGTACGGTCAACCATAATTAGCAGTTTCACAGTATGCTCCGCCGTCGCCAAAAAAGCAGCATCACTTAGTACCACAGTACCGGCCGCCATCACAAATACCACAATTTTCTACATCTCCTGCCGCACCACGGCCTTTACCCTATTCCACTCAGTTGTTTAAACCATTTCATCTGCCAGCAACGTCTTACGGCCCACCCGCCTCCGGACCATTGAATCTGCCATCCAAGTCAGTTTACGAAACACCACCAAACTACGGCCCACCACCGCTGCCTGTCAATCTACCTGCACATCAATCCGAATCCTTCAATCGTGTGCCAGAGACAAGTATTATATATAGTACTTTTGACCTACAGCGTTTACCAAGCGGCCCAGGTGGTATTTCCTTTAAGCATGCGCAGATCCACGTTGATACTTCTGGACATACTCACAGCGTGACTGGCTCGCTGGCCCCCTTTCACACTGCATGTGATGGCTGGAAGCCAATTTCAGCGCCCATAGGCACCTTAATTGAAGAGAACCGCATTGATACCCTAAGCGGTTACAGTCATGTCGGCCAGGGCCAGAGCACTGGCAATGTGGCTGGAGCCACTGACGACCCCATTGTTGACGGGCTTTCTGACGAACAACTAGTGGCAGTCGCTCTACAGGATGAGGCCATTAACGGAAAAACAGATGCAAGCAGCAATGGTCTTCTGAACATCATTCACTCTGAAGCTTTGCAAGTGGGTAACCATATGGCAATCAGTTCAAAAAAATAAGTTTACTGATATATTTCCTTCCAAATTTGCAAATAGAACTCCGAAGGCTCAATTGATGATACTTACTCTAAGCCACCAACAGATTCATTTGCGCCGGGTACTGTGCATGACCACAAATATCAGACTATTGGTAGCAATCTTGGCGCCACTGTACCACTAGCACAAGGACCGACTCCGCATATTTCTGCTCTTACAAGCAGCTTTGGTCAGTCCCAAACCCACTCCCATTCCAACGTAAACATTCAGTACAGCTCACCATTTGGCAATCCACAATATGGCGTTGGGCTTCCTAAATCACCAGTAGTCTTTCGACCGCCCGTCCCTGCCGGTCTTATCGAATCTATAGGCGCCACAGTGCAGCATCTGGATCAATTCGGCGAAAAGCCACCGCAGCAGACCCCCACATATATTCCACCTGCCGCTAATGAAATTGCATTAAGTGATTCATCATCTTCATCGCAGGCCGTTAACAGAGCGCCCCTGAAGCAGCAGACACCACCGCAAATTATTGTACAGCAGCAACTGCCGCGTCCGCAATATGGACCCGCCTTTGCACATCAGAAGCTTGCTCACTTCCAGGAGTATGGTTCTCCAGCTCTATTCAAGCTACCACAGTCTAACTACATACCCCCACCACCGAAACCACCGGCAGCGCAGCAATATTTGTCAAATCAACCGGCTGAAAATATCCATCGGAAGAACGAGCACGCAAAAAACAGCTATAGCTCGACGTATACACCACCGTTTGTCCAATCGCATGCACTACCTTTAACGCAACAGGTTCAACAGTTTAACCAACAAACAGTTCTATCGACAGGGGTGGGTCCTCAACAGCACCAAAAGCCGCAGCGCTGCACAATTGTGGACAAGGTCCAAACCTAGTCAGCAGTACCGGCTACCAAGTGCATCAACAGCAACAATTTAGCAGCGTCTCGGCGGCATCCTCTGACGCCTATAATGCTATTGCACAGAGCGTCCCTGTGGCTGAGCAGCATACACAGTTTTTAGCCGGCCCCGCCGACAGTTACGGCCCACCACCTTCGGGGAACGAAATTGATTTGGATCCCTCCGGTTATGCCTCACAAAGGTCAGCAGTTCAGGCACTACCAGATGGAACAGATCCACAGCAGCTACCGGGTCTAAATGGCTTGAATGTGATCTCTGCAAAAAAGTCGCAAAGCATTCAATTAGGTACAAGTAGCGTTCAACCAGCTCAGCACTTTCAAGTTCAGTTTGGCAGCCAATTAATCAAGGTTGGTGACAACCATGGCAACGGTGCTGCCCTTAGTGAGCCAAATGCGAATCATGAGGAGATCCTGTCACAAGGTCTACTCCAGTCCATACTAACTGCCATTGAACAACCGCAATTGTCGTCGCCACTTCCACAGAATCACAGTGCGCAGAGTCGCTCTGATGACCAGTATCACGACGACAAAAAGCAGAATGCGGAAGATGAGCAGCATGAAAAACAGCAACATAATGTAAACGTTGAAGTACGCGTGTCACCCGGAACAAATGACAAGGGAATGGAACTGCAATCAAAAGGATTGGAAATTGTGCCTATTTTTGCTGCCGATTTGGAGGAAGAGACCAAGCATTAAGTAGAGTCTATATTTAAGTATCTATTGTTTGGAATCCACTACTATATGTATTTGCCATTTAATATGAATTAGGATACAAATACAATTTTTTTTTTATATTTAATGTTATGTGTATAATATATTTAATAAACTATTTATTTATTAATATTACCATTTGTATTTATTTTCACGGAAAAATAAGACAGTTTATCTCTGAGTAACAAAATAAATTTGGAAATGGGTAAGGGTAATGGGTATAATGTTTTATACTTTGTCGGAAATTCCTGACACAGTATACAAATTAAGAAATTTAGGAGCTCGTAGGTACCGACTGGCTTATTGTCAAAAATTCAACTGACTCTAACGAGCATATTTTCTTATAATGGAAGCTAGCCCTGCTCCCTTAAATCGCCGATATTGCGCCTCGTGTATGGTGGTATGGCCCGCAAAAGCCGCTGACAGTACTTGGTTAATGACCCACTCTGTTGTTGGGTAATTGTGTTAACTCCTCCCTCGCACAAGTCAAGAAACTCGTCGGCCTTCTTAACACCGTCGATAAGAGCCAGAATGCATCTTTGATCTCGAGTCGCTTGGCGCCTTTTATAGAATCTGAAAAAGGCATAGCAACAGACCAAAAAAATAGTCACGGTCAATCATGATATTAAGGGCCGTTTAATCAAATCCTTCTCGATTTCGTCAATGTACCGCACGTTCTCTATACTCTTTGTAGGTATGGTAGACTTAATATTGCTTGATGGCCTGTTATCTTGAGCAATGCTGTCGCCGCTGGGCCAGGAGATTTGTTCGCATACCTCTTCAGGTTACGGTATAAAATATTATTTACCAAGACCTCTTCGTCGTAGGTAAGGCGAAACGTTCCGGTCACAATTTTTTCTTCGTTATCGCTAAACGTGATCACGGCGGTTTCCTCATTGATGATGATGGCCCCGTCATCGATGACCGTGACTGACTCGAGATGGCTGGGCCGGGTGGTACAATGAGCTGTGCATCCACAGTTAGGTGCACGGCGTATACGGTAATTTTCTTTAGAAAGTTGTGAGCGTAGCGCTGCAGTTTCCAATTAGTAATATTTTATTACCGCAGTCGGCGTTGATGTGTGCGTCGGCAAGGTTGAGGATGGTGTTATTGCCGTACAGGGTATAAAAGTATTGTCTTAAATATTAAACTTGGCTTAGGAAATTTCATTAAAAAATGTAAAACTTGTTATTTAATAGAACCTTGTTTTGGGCTACTTCCATCAAGTCGGTAATTGTTATATTCGTAGAGCGATAATTGATTATATTTTGTAAATCATTGCAGTCTAATATTGCCGAGTTAACAATTCCAATCTTTGTGAGTGTAACGAGTAGCAATGTTTCGTATTAGTTTTCTGTATTTTTTAAACTAGTTTTTTAATTTTTTATTAGAATGTTTACTGTGCTGATAGTTTATTTAACTGTTCTTGCGTTTTTGTTTACAGATGATTACCTGCCTGTTTTCAAATTCAATGAGCTCCTGTTGTGTCATTGTAAGTCTTTCAAATTCATCAATGTCCGGAGTCCCAGCTACTACCATTAAAATGGAGCTTAATATATTGATACTTCTACCGTGTCAATGGTGAATATTTATAGTTGCCAGGAGCGTTATCATGTGTCGTATGTCCGAGTCTAGTATCTGTCTCATTAGCGATTGAGGAAAATGATTCTTAAACTTCTCCGTTTCGCTTGTCCTTTATGCGTACATTGTCAAGTTAGTCGGGTGCTTTAAATATTGAAAATCTTTCCAAATGGTCGTGTCTCCATCCATAACCGAAATGTAGTCCGCGTTTGAGTGGTCTGCCAATTTGGCCGATGCCATTGTGACAAGAAGTAGCATAGTATAGATCCTGAGAAGAGAAAATTCTAGTTTAGTTATCTTACATTATCCTTATGAACTACCCTCCCTTTAATTAAGACTGTGGTTCCCAAGTCTGCATCAACTGTTTCCTCATTTCACAAAGGTGTAAGCCTATTTCTCAGTCTCTTATTTGATCTTACAAGGACTTTATCTCTTATTGGAAATTTATACTTTTTCTTTCTTCATTTAACCTTTGCAATTAAATATTCTGTGCTTTAAGGACTTTATTTCTTAATTCTGCTTCGAGCTCTGGAGATGAATGGATTATGTTGATAGGTTGTTTGGTTGTAATCGAGTGGATTGTTCTGTTATATTCTATGGTTGCCTGAAGTATTAATTCGACTGTGTCGTTGATATTTCTATCAGCGTGTGCTACCGATTCGACCTCCCACAATTCCCTCGAATCATCCCCGCCGCTTAAGCCCCCACGGAGACTATATTAACTACGCCCTAGTTCCTTGTCAAGCTACTTGAAATTGCTGCAACCCCACTTCTTCGGACTCATGTCCCACAACATGTTGCCTAACAGCTTAAACGATTAAGTTATAATAACCTCTCACAGGGTTGAATTTTTTTATGTCGATACCTGGTTGAAGTTGACAACTTCTCATCCTCTTTCTTAGCCACGTGCTCGAAGCGACGGGATGGTGATTGATATCAGGATTATTATATAATTACATATATATCTTTTTGTATTATATTCTACTGTGCGAATTGTATGGAAATCTATCAAAACACCACATCCATAAATTAAAGATAATTCACAACAACATATCGTCCTTTTGAATTCGTGGAACTACCCCCCACCCCACCGCGAGGCCCGAACTGACGGTGACTCGGGCGTATTTGACAACGGTACTGTGGAATCTCTCTATTTGTCCGTTCGAGTTACTACGAAGCGGTGGTGCGCTTACAATTTGAAGTTTAAATCAATTATTTAAAAGTGATTTTATTGTTTCGGATTTTTTAGAGGGTTTGTTATTGCAATATATATGTGGTTATAAAAGTTCATAAGCTGTAAGACTACTGAGTGTATGTTCACTATTGTTGTGGATTCAATGGGTTGAACAATCGAAAATGTGGAGAGTTTGTCTATAAAAGTAAGGAAGTACCTTTTGTCGGCTGCAAATATGTCGATATGTAATATTTCGCCTACATGTAACGGAATAGGTGTTTCTCCAAGTATCTGTTTCTAAGGGTGACGATTATATTTCGCTCTTGACAAAATTTGCAATTTGCCACGACTTCGTTTGGTAGTTTGGTCATCTTCTGAAAAAAGTAATCTTGGAGAATCTGTTTTACATTTTATTGAGGCATGACCGTGACAACTTTTTCTATCTGTTAATTTTTGTTTAAAATATCGGTTACCATGTGTTTTGTGTGGCGGAATGTTGTCGTCGGGAATGTTTCCACTAACTTATGCTGAACAAAAGCTAATATTAAAAGCTCACAGAAAATTGCGATTACCACATCTTTGTTGACAACGTCACAAGCCTTCTGAATTAGTGTTTTTCTATCTGAGAAATGTATGAGGTAACGAGTTTTTTCGCCAAATATAATAGCAGCTCGATCCGATGCAGTTCTACTCCTTCTTTTATTATTTGAGTTTTGAAAGCAGTTGACCGGGTTGTCTGTTGATTCGACAGTGTATCTGAGTGATAACTCGCTATGTATAGTGACAATATCTCAATAGGCATCTTTTTCTTAAGCGTGAATGTTTTTCCTTCCCTTCCCTGGCTTGAAAAATATTTCAGCATTGTGCTCACCCATTACAGCTTTCCATCGCTTAATTTTTGCATTTAGTTCGCGGTCGACAGTTTCTCTCCGACAGTTAAACGAGACGGAACGCTAAGCGTCACTGTTTAAGTTTTGGGTAATGCTGTTACGGCATTGCCGGCAACGATAATTTGCATTGAACTAAAACTATTATAATAAACAAACGGTAATTAACTTGCCCAAGGGCAATAAAACGCAGCGCAGGCGGCTGCAGCTGCATAGAAGCGAGAAAAAAAAACGTTTCTTATCTAGTGCGCGCACCCTAGTGCGTGTGCGTGTTATTGTGCGTGCATTTATTTATGTTTTTGCAGTGCAGGTGTTATCTTTCAGTATAGTTTTTGAGACTTCTGTGGACCGTTGCGGTAAATTCTGCAAGTAATAATACTTCTCAGTATGGACACGCATAGCGACTCAAATGATATATATAAATATATTTCCAAAATGAGAGCTATGGACGATAGAGAATTATCGGCCCAAGCGAGGCGACTAGATGAGCGGTACAAAGCTGTGCTCTGCGAGAGCCAGATTACCGCTACTCCTTCGAGCTGCTACCCGGTCTATATCACGACCACAGCTAACGCCTCCGCTTTTACCGCAGTCACTTATGCAGTGGCTTCAGTTACTTCTGCGACGGCTCGCAGCTCAGCAGGGCCCAATAATCCGCAAGACAGCAGCAGAAAGCCATCATGCCACTCTATAACCACCCCATGCGCCGTTGATATGCCCTTGAACAACACAACTCTTGTCGCACCTGTAGCCAACACCAACACTCAAGGCAGTTCTGTGCCTTATATCGCTCCCCCGAGCTCGATATGGCAAAAAAGCGGCACTGCCAGACGCAAGCGCCCTAGCGCCCCCCTCTCGCCTGACCAAACCAACAAAAAGGGAAAGACCAAAATCCTATCTAACCTGCAAACATCAAGGGTACTCCAAACCAGCCGGTCAAGCGACGACATCCCATCAAAGTCAAAAGATGCTCGTCTAAGGATGAATCGATTTGCAGCTCTTGACACTGCCGACAACGAGGCTGACGAAAATCAGAAAGATACGGAATTAGATGATATGGAGACAGAAGCCAGCATGCTGGAGGACCTACCATTGCCTGCGACAACTCCACCGCCTCCTAAGTCTAGAAAACCTGGTCCCATCATGGTTCCAGGTATAACAGATATTCACAAATTCCAGGATGCCTTGGACCAAATCATTCCAGCTAGCAGCTACTCAACTCGTACGTCTGGCTCAGGCCTAACTAGGCTATACACCAAGGACGTTCCAACCTTCCGTAAAGTAGTTGCCTTCATGGAAAAGACTAAATGCCAAAACTACCACTACCAACTCCAAGAAGATAA